ATATGTATATATATATATATATATACATATATATATAAAACTGTAACTGGAGCGTGTAGCAAAAGTAATTTCCCTCTGGGAATATTAAAGTATTTCTGATTCTGATGTGCCAAAAGTGTTTTGTTTTCTAAAAATGCAAAAATGAAAGTCAGACATTGCCTTTCAACAATGCTTCAACAGAATGATTTAAAAAAAAAAACTAAACCAATGAAACAGGCCTGCACAAAAATGATGATTCCCCTAAATTAATATTTAGTTGTATAAACCTTTGAGGCAATTACTGCAACCAAACGATTCCTGTAACTGTCAGTGAGACTTCTGCAGCTCTCAGCAGGTATTTTAGCCCAACCTTCATGTACAAACTACTCCAGTTGTCTCAGGTTTGAAGGATGCCTTTTCCAGATGGCATGTTTCAATAGGATGTAGGTCAGATAGAGGCCACTTCGGAATAGTTCAATATTTTCCTCTTAAGCCGGGCATACATTGAACGATATTATCAATCGTTGCACGCAGCTACAGCTCGACAAGTTACATATAAGTTATGCAAAACTTACTCATAGGTTTTGAATAACCTGGACGCTACATCCTATGAGTAACTTACACTTAATATATGTCAACAATCAGATAACTTACCTGTAACTTATGCCCCACGTCTGGCATAGGCTGGCATACGTCGAGAAATTATGAGCATATACTTTCCATATGTCAACATCTGCCAGCATATTCCAGCGTGCTTCAGCGTGCTCAAAACTTATAAAAAAATGTAACTTATCCAATGTATGCCATTTTGCCAGATTTTTCATACGCTAGGTGTAACAGCGGCTTCATTAGGCCATGCAGACTTGTTAAGCATAAACCAGACTTTAGAAAAATATCATAAAGACCTAAAATAGGATTTTAAGATTCAAGGGATTTTGTTTTTAGTTGAACAATAGTTTTGTCTTTTTTTTCCCCAAAATACGACACAAATATAATCATTTTTAATTTGCAGTATGCATCATTCACACAAACCTTTTCTACCTATTCCTTTCCGTATCTTTCAAGATGCTTATCTTCCTGTCTGTTGTTGCAGAGATTTATTCTATAAATCAGTTTTCTTTAATCAGTGAATCCTTGGCCTGAGGAAGCATCTGATTGTTTCACAGTTACACTCAGCAGCATTTTAAGGCTTTTAAAACAATCTGCAAATCACTTAATCATTACAGCTCACAAGACCTGAAGTCAATCTGCTGGAAGATTTACCCGCAGAGGCCAACACCTGTTTAAAGCTCCTGGTTGTTAAGCTGTGTGTGATCGGCCCTGTTATTCCAACAAGTATGTGCACTTCACCCGTATCACTCACATGGCAGGGATTCACGGGCGAGTCTGGGTGTGACAATTTCATCATCGGCCAAGAACCTCTAGGAGACCCGCCTCCATGATGGCGGCTTAGGTTCAGTGTCTGAAAAACACACATTCAGCAATAAGAAGATGCTGAAAACTATCGTGATCTGACATTAAACAAAGCAGTTCACCTTAACTACACTCTGAGCAGCTGCAGATCTTAGGGTTAAAGAGCTTTACATGACCTCTGAGGAGGCTTATATGCTGTACATCTGCACATCCACTATCCACGGTGATGTAAGCTGAGTTTAACGTGAGCCCTTATTCAGTTATATTTCTAAAAGATCGTATTAAGACTAAAAATATATTAGTTTCATTGAGGGCTGGTGTTTTACTATTTTTAAATGTCTCTTAGCATAAATAACCAATCAATTGGTTATCCTGTATATTTCCATGCAGCTCTGACAAGTTATCAGATAAATAAACTGCCTCACCAGCATATTAATCTGCTCAGCAGGCGCCAGATAATGAAACAGTTAATTGATTAAAGTGTGTTTGGAACACATACACATCTAAAGTTGCAGGATTTCTTGATGCCCATGGTTTGGCTTTTTTTTTTTCCATTCAGTATACCCGATTTGAGTGAATGGCTCTTTATCAGAGGCCTCTGCAGAAAAAAAAAACATCTTTTATCCTGCCCCTTACTGTATGCAGAACAACGTGTTTTGCTGTGTCAAGATGGGGGTAGCTCACTTTATTGTGATGTCACAATAAAGTACTCTATTTGAGGGGGGGCTGGCATCCCCCTTCTTAAATGACCACCCTCCATACCATCCCCTGTGACATTTTATTACTAAGTGTGTAAACTTTCTACTATTTAATAAACAAATAAGTATCCTACCATGAATATGAAGCTGATCCCAGTGGAAAATTAGTCCCTAACTCTGTAGGG